GATGCGTCTGTCGAGCGTTATTAATTAACCTGATAGGGTGATTAACGATCGTAGCCGCGTACCACAGCGCGTCTTTCATCGGGATCGATTAATGCCTTTCGCCGAATTGGCTGCTTTTCGCGGAATAATCCTCGAACAATCGGGGCACAGCTCGCCTTCCTCCCTTCGATCGGATACATCGAATGTAACGAGGGAGGATTATCGTATTATTTTACTTTAAATTATAACACAACTACTGAATAACGAAGATAAAATCAGATTACTGGAAAATGATTAATTTGGAAGTAATGGATATTGTGAAATATTCTTTCGAAATTATACTCCACGATTAAATTATACATTGGAAGATAGAGATACACGAAAATTATTACTAATGTAACGAGGATAATAGAATTGTCGTATTTTTACCTTAAATCGTAACGCAATTAGCGAATAACGAAGGTAAAAATCAGATTGGACTGGAAAGTGGTTAATTTGGAAATAAATTTTATGATCAAAGATTTTTCAGAAATCCATTTTCACTTGCCAACGAATCTACCTAATAAAGAAAAAAAAAAAAAAAATTATATCTTGGATACATTGAAAGATAGAAAATGTATATTAATAATCGGTACAAGTAACTGCTATCATATCGATCGAGACGATCGGATGTTCTTATGCAAGCTGTTCCGAGAAATCGAAAGGAGAAGGACGCGCGCGAGTGACGATTTCGAGGCTGGTTTCGAGTTCGGGGATATTGGATCGGAGAACGATAATAATTACTCCCGCGCCGTCTGTCACGAGCGATCGATAACTCGCCGGCAATTAACTTTGAAAAATCGTCTCGAGTCACGTACGATCCGGTTTCCAAAGGATCACCCCTCCCCTTTCCCCCTCCTCTCTTTTTCTTCGCTTAACCCGCCCCGCGATATTAGATTCCCGCGGACGAAAACGATCAGCGCGCCACCTGCCTTCGTTGTTGCGCCTTGCGAGTGAAAAATGGAAGGATTATCGATCTTTATTCGATCCCCTTAAAGCGAATTTACACTTTTACCGGCTTTAATTTGCGAATGAATTTCACACACCGATATTATTTAATTTGGATAAAACGTCGATTGGAGGTGTATTATTCGTAAATGATAAACAAGAAGTAAGTTACCAAATACTAAATATATCTCGTATCTTAAATTAGAACGAAGACCTAACCTCAATCTCGGATATCTACACTTGATTTGGATCGATTTCCCGTGGGAAGGAGAACGAGGAGAAGGCTGGGTGGGTTTTTCTCTGGGAATAAAATTGGCCGGGAATAAAGCTGGACGAGAAGGATCGTGCGGCGGGCAAACGAGCGACTGCTCAACCGGGACACCCGTGCACGCATTGTTGAGCGATTAGGCGGTTGGAACTGCGTAGGATATTCCCCTCGGGAGGCGGCCTTGATCGAATTGGCCGCGAGAAGACTGGTTCCGTGGAATCACGCGAGACTAGAGAGCTAGTAGGAGAACAATCGAAAACCTCTTGTTCAATTGTCCCCTAAACGCAATGCGAGAAAATGCATCGGTCCGCGTGTGTCCGATACAGAGATTATTTACTTATGAATTTACCAATTTTAATTCGAAATCTCGTGCATAAGCAAGAGATCAACAACTCTGTTAAGAGATTCGGATTATCATCGAAGGTTGAGCTCCAAGTCTTCGACTAACAACTGCATTAATTCTTGGGGCTTCTTTTTTAAAATAAAATTATTCCAGAAATCGTAAGAGTGTAGAATTTGTTATTCTATACTCTATCATTTTTTCTTTCATTTACGTATCTCTGCACGTACAGAGATCCATTGTTAATTTTAGCATCCATTTTAAATTTTATATATTCGCAGCACCAATTCTTGGCCAGTATTTTTTAAAAATCGTACTCACAGGGAATGGCAAAGAATTGTCGAATCGAAGATAAGAGATTGGTAGTGTAATGGTGGTTCGCAGGGGTGGCAAGGGTGGGGGCGACACCGAGCCCCGCGAGAGGCAGCCCGGGAACCGGTTGCCTTCGAGGAGGCACACAACCGTGGACACTGACGGATATGACATTTCTGAAGTTCGTGGCCATCTACGTTTCATCCTCTCGTTCGTTTTGCACGCTGCCCAACTTTGCCCTCCCCTCCTTTGCGCACCGCTCCTTCGACGTCGTCCCCCCTTCACTTTACCTTTTATTTCGATTCGATTTTTCTGCCGGTCTTGTTCCCTTATTATCTCGTTTTGCTCGTCTCTGGCCCACGTCACTTTCTCTCTCTCTCTCTCTTTCCTCGCCCCTTCCTCCTCCTGCCCTCCTCCTGTCCATGCCTCGAGACTCGCGCGTCGATTTTATTTTTCCCTCTCCATCCGCGCAAACCTGGTCTCTCCGGTCCCTCCGCCGAAGGGAGGCTCCTCTTCCTTTCCACCACGGCACGCTCGTGCTTTTATTTCCTGTCGGCCTTCTTGCCGCCCCTTTTTCGTCCGCGCAGAACCGCGGCTCCTCTTTCACTTGTTGTTCTCGCGTCATCCTCCAAATTGAACGCTCTGTCCAAATCGATTTTGTCCCTGGATGCGTTCTCGATTTTAATTTGATTCTTCGAGAGAGGAGAGAATTCACCATCACCGTTTTGAAATTTGAAAAATTTATCTCTTTAGAATATTCGATCATTCACGCTATATAATATATATATATATATATATATATATATATAGCGTGAATGATCTGATTCGCAAAATTCCGCGATGCAAAGAAATTCCAAAAAATCTTCGGCCACCTCTTAAATTGCGGATTAATTATTCGAAAACTCGTTTCGTTGGGCAGAGGTCGGTTTAATAACCATTAGAGCCAGAAGACCTCGGACGATTTTCACCCCCACGTGTTGTGTAGGCCGGCGGGCGCGAGAAAGGTGAAAGGCTGGACGCGGCGAGGGTGTGAAAGATCTAGAGCAGATAGGGGGCCTCTATATTGATGAGCTGGCTCTCTCCGCGTATTGATTCCACGGCAGAGGGGTTTCGCCGGGGCCCGGAGCACCCTGCAGACCCCTTTTGCTACGCGCCAACCCCGATAAGATCGGTCAGATAAGCCATGATTACACACCGCGTCGAGCCACCCCCTCCCTCTCGCGTTTTTCTCTCCACCCTTCGTATCGCCCACCGACTGTGTAAACAGTCTTCCACGTTGATGGTTGGCTTCGTTTTTTCAGTCTTCAATGGGGCGACCAGAAGTCCAGTATCGAATTCCCATGTAATTAATTATCCATTGATTTGGATCAATCAAAATTTTTATTGCGTTTGCTTAAAGAATTTTATTATTTTTATTTTTTTCCGGATCAGAAATTCGTTCGAGTCGAGGAAAGATTTATCTTTGCTATTAGTTTATATAATTTACGTAATATATCTTTATTACGAGGTAAATAAATATAAGGATATATACGAAAAATCGACGAATTCGTATAGATTACATTGTTTAAACAATTGTATTGCATTCTTTTTTTTGGATCATAAATCTCTAAATGTTATGTTTCAATTTTTAAATCCCTAAATCCTTAAATTTTTATAAAATGATTATTTGATTATAATAAGAGAATTATCTGTCTTAAAAGATATTAAGAAATTCCCCAATCCCCAAGATTAAAATTTGTATATTTAAAATACAGATCATTAATTCTGGATCACACGTTAAAAAAGGCCGCTGTCACAATCCATATATAGATACTTCTACTTATCCACGTATCCAATACGTAATGCAAGTTAAAAATGGCGCACTTCATCAACGTACTTCATCCGACAGCGCCCTCTATCCCACCGTTCCATCGAAAAAAGAAAGATACTCGAAAACGGTTACATCGTGCCGACAATGCAAAGGGGGCACGTCCCACCTCGTCCTCGAGCACTCTCGAGTGAAAGATACGTCAGAGACAGCGAAGAAAAAGAGGGAAAACAGGACATTTTATATTCGTGGACACGCGCTCGAGAGATTCATTGTGACGAGTTCACAAAGAGGGGTGCAATTTCGATGGCGAGTTTTTCGCTCAAACAGCTTTCAATCGGTTTTCCATTAGAAGAACTTCCCCCTCTCCGTTCCGCCTGCGCGGCGACAATGCGCACGACCTGATCTCTTTTCTCCGCGCTGAGAGGAGGTTAAGTGGCCGGTGAATGGAAACTATCGAAGGAAGAAGCTTCCTACGTGAAAAGTTGCGAGAAGTGGGTCCATGGAATTTGTATAAGTGGTAACTGTCGAGACGGAAATGAGGCGAGGTATACCTTCGTCGATGGGGAAACAGGTGTAGAGAGAAGATGGGATCCTTTCACGATCCCGGGTCAGGTATGAACACGGGCTCGCGTTTCCAATCCTCTGAACCCGGGGGATTAAGGGCGGCCGATTTCACGCGATCCCGGCTCTTCTCGTGGCTTCTTGATTCTGGAAGCTTTTCGATTCTTCTTCCATGAATAACTCTGTGGGTTAGAAAAACTGGCAAGAAATCTTTGGAAAGTGTTGTGAAGAGGTTATGAAGAGGTTATGAAGAGATAAATATTTATTCGCGCTTGCGTCTTCGATCCTTTTTGCTATTTGAACAATAGTGTAGAACGGTGTGTAGTGTAAATATTTGTGTATCGTTAAACGTTGTGTAATTAATGGCAATTTGTCAGAGACAATAAATTTTAATAGTTTAAATGCCGAGTACAATAGTGTTTTGCATTCTGATGCGAAATTTTGTCTTGCAAGTCGCCTACGTAATATAAATATAATATAGAAACATAACCTATTTTATAAGACAGAATTTCTGGTAGACTCTATTTTGCAAATTAGACGGTTTTGATCAGGATGTAAAGCATCTTTATATATTATTTTGTAATGGAACATAATGATCTTTAGAGACAAAGGATTAACTCGAACGAAATCATTTAGATTATTAGATAAAACCGAGTCGTTCTTTAAATATTTTCGAAATTGGAACGACTCGGTTTCCAATACGTTACAGGTGTGATATCTGTGTGTTTTCTTTTCCAAAACTGTCGCTGCAGAGTGCGGCGAGGCGGGCGGGCACCAGCTGTGCCAACTGCAAGACCGCGACCACCACGCTCTGGCGAAGGAATCAGGCCGGAGAGCCAGTCTGCAACGCGTGCGGCCTCTATTACAAACTGCACAACGTAAGTAATCGATCATACATAACCTCCATCATAGACGTTTTCTCGGCTGGATCCCTAGCCACGACTAATGAACCAGTCTTTCGATCGGATTCGAGCAATGAATCCTCTTAAATACATTTCGGTATATGTATAGTAAAAATTGGATTATTGCTCGACAATTGTAATGGAATTGATTCTTATAATTTAATCAGAGTTTGAATTTTCTTTATGCATATAGGATGTTAATATATTTAGAGAATTGATTCTGGAAGCTAAAATAAACATAATATTGATTGAAATTTATGTATTAAATGAATAAGATAAAGTGAGACACAGATATTGTGAAATCGCAATATGACAAAGATAAAGATTATCTACAAACATGAAATTACAATTTAACGAATAATTTTCAATTGACACTTTTGTTTTTTTTGTTTTTTTCTTTAGAATTAACCCTCCAAAACGAATATATTAACGAATATATTATTCTATGTGTGTGTAAAAACACACGTACAGTTATCCAATTTTTACCATCCATGTAACTAAATCCATGTCTCTTGAAATATCGTTTGGGTCTTTTTGAATTTCTTTAAAAAGAGATCCGCGGGTATATGGCATTTTATTTATCGGGGGACTTCCGTTCGGAATCGGAGCGAACGATCGAAAGCGGAAGATCCGTGCCACTCGATACAATGTTTTCGAGGAGGGAGAGGCCGACAAAGGGACTCGGGTATTAAACGGTGGATACGAGATCCGGCGAATGAAAGCAGTCCTTCGATAAACAGCAGAGGCAAAAGGTCGTTTCTTTGGCCACCGTCGAAGCCACTGATCGTAAACCGGCCCGTGTAACGTAATATCGGATCGCTATTGTCGCGGCGAGCCTCTCTCGAGCATCCATTGTCGTACCGTGGAACCTAATTCCTCGATCCTCTTTCTTCTCTACGACCACAATCTACTCGCATTCTTCGCGACTTTCATCTCTGAAATCGTTGCAATTGTCGTGTCCTCGAATATGTCTGGAATAGACACTAGCCAAATGTTTCTCATTCGGACTTTAATACGTTTCACTAGTTCCGATGGTTGCCGCCGGATGTCTTTATTTTCTCGCAAGTAAACATTTTTACTCTAATTCATATATATCGGTACCAAATTGTGATACATAAACGAAACGAATTGTAATTATAATTATTTTCAACGCATAACTGCTTTACAATTTATAATTTGAAAATGATTCGATAATTTATCCTCATTATTAAAAATTCCATTATGTAAGAGATAAATCCGATAACAAAAAAACAACTGCTGGTTCGAAGTAAATCTTATCCCAAATCGAAGCGTCTCTCGTTTGTTTTCGATAAACTCGAGCGGGATTGCCACTCGAGCCCTTCCGTCTACGCGATTCGACCCTCTGTTGTGCCAACAATTAGGGTGTTCTGTGGAGTCGGCGGACGTGCGAAGAGTGTCGCCAGAGACGATGAGGCGGGGGTGGAGCGTGCTCAACGGCGTGTGACACAGGAAGCAGCAGAGGAAGACAAAGGGAGGAGGGAAAAACGGACATCCTGCTGGGAGTTTTTCTCAGGAACTCGGCGTATTTCACGCGGAGAGAAGAACGATCGCTTGCGGAAATCTTCGTCGTGGATTATGGGTGGGCGTCGACCTCGATAGCTCTCGCTGCGCTACATCCGCTATAATTCCTCGTGGACGAGGATTGTCTCTCGGTTTTCCTTTATCCTTCCTCTCGAGTTTTCGCGGGTCAAAAATAAATTTCTCTCGCGGGATCTTGATAAGATTCCGTTTGTTGCAGCTCGCCTAATTGGCCCACGATGACACAACGGGTCCCACTGTCCTCTCCTCCCGGCACTCCAAGCAAATGGTCCGTTCGAATTTACGCGGCTTTTTCCTCCTACTCTACCGGCTTATCGGCCTATGTCGATCTGCGCTTCGAAGACAGACGCTCAACGTATCGCTGAGTACGGTGCACCGCTCCCGACTACTACTCGGTTCCAAGCAATTATTGCACGAATTCTTTGCATCAATTTAACACTTTAATCGTTGTAATATTTACATATAATTTTCAATGCTTAACTAAATTTAAACGAGGATTGAGTCGTAAATTAGAGAGTTTAAATAAATTGAATTTTTTCAGATCGATCAAGATGCGAATTTGGAAAATGAAAGAGTAGAAATTTTTTTAACTCTTAGATAAAGATTTAAAACAACGATATCAAAATTCGGCCACGATTACAAGCAAAGAATGGACTCGTTAATTATTCGAAAGAAAAATTTGATGAAGAAATAATCATCTTGCAACTCGTTATTCCATTACTCGATCGAATCGGCTCGTCCAATAATTTTACGAAGAAATAACGAGTCCTCATTTATTTCACCTCGACTCCCCCTCAACCTTCTCATCCCATTACCCTCGAAAGGGTTAAAGGCTACAAGATCCCGATTCGCGTTTCCTCGTGACGTTTATCTGGCGAGAATCAGGGTGTAGGGAGGGAGGGAGGGTGGCGCGAGGCAAGCAGAGTGACCAACAGCGACTTACCAGCAAGCGACATCCTCGCGTTGGTTAATGCCGGGCATAAAGGCCGGGCCCAGACACGTTTCCTGGTAATCATTAATTAAGCGTAGGGCTCCCTTCCGCCCCGCCTAGCGACATGGGACGCCGTGCACGCTCCACCAACAGAGAGAATAAATTCGGATACTCTCCTCTCTCTCTCCTCTCTCTCTCTCTCTCTCTCTCTCTCTCTCTCTCTCTCTCTCTTTATCTCTGGAAGAGAAACGAGACGAAAACGCGCGAAACTCATCGCACCATTTCTTCCCTCGAGTTGTTCCTGGGGAAGGAACAGTCGAGAGGAGGATCGCTCCTCGGGTAAGCTGTGGAATAGGCGACTGTCTTGGGTGACGTTAAGCCGACACGTTACAGTCTCCGAATCTCTTCCCCTACGGCCACGTCGAACAATCGGACGGCGAGGATTAACCAGGGGTCCCTGCACTCGTCCAAGGTTCTTCCCTCTCGAACCGATCCGATCTTACGGCGATATCGAAAATTCGACGAGCGATGATCTACGAGAAATTTAGGAGGGGAGAAGGGGGGGGCATACGCTCGTGTGTCGTTGATAATATAATATTCATTATATTCATTTGCAACAATGCTTAACGAAAATTGATACCGTTAATATTTCCCCCTCCCTTGAAATATTTACAATATTTATTAGAATATTTATTTATTAGAAAATTTATTGCAATATTTTCCCCTCCCTCGAAATATTTACAATATTTGTCAGAATATTTATTTATTAGAAAATTTATTGCAATATTTCCCCCTCCCTCGAAATATTTGCAATATTTGTCAGAATATTTATTTATTAGAAAATTTATTGCAATATTTCCCCCTCCCTCGAAATATTTGCAATATTTGTCAGAATATTTATTTATTAGAAAATTTATTGCAATATTTCCCCCTCCCTCGAAATATTTACAATATTTATTACAATATTTATTAGAATGGAATGAAGATTGGGGAAGCTCACAGGTTGAAAGAAAAATTATTAGATAATAAATAGGTTTTGAAAGAATTGGAAAAAAAGTAACGAGAATTATCCTGGAATCGTTAGAAACTCTCGAATTTATTCGAACGTAAGTACACGACAACGTACAAGACAATATTCCTCTTCAAGATTAAATGGCACGAAAAAAAAAAAAAAAAGATCCGGGATCTCGAACTCGGTGCGTTAAAGACACGCATCTCTATTCAAAGAGAAAGGAAGAATGAGAAAGAGAATCGATGGCTGCTACCAAGTATGCGTAAGGAAGGTACGGGCGAAAGAGATCAATCATTTCGAGAGCAGCGTCTCCGGCAGTTTCTCTTGTACCTGCCACCAGAGGGGTATACGGCTGTTCCCGGGGCTTGTCCCGAGATTCGAGATAGACGGCGTGGAGGAGGAAGGAGGGGGGAGGGGAGGGGGACAGGGAACGACAGATCTGGCGTCGTTAAGATAGAGCGGGCCGATAGCGAAGCCGCGCGAGCTGTGGCGCGCGAGCGAGCGAGCGAGCGAGGCGAGGCGAGGCGAGGCGAGCCGACGAGAGCCATCGTGGCTGGTCGAAAATACACGGATTATTCGTGCTCTCGGCGTCGGGCTACCGGCTGCTCGAAATATGGTAATCGCCGCTCGAAATCCTGGCCGGAGGGTCGCCGGGGTCGATGGAGAAATTCCTCGAACGAGGACGATCCTCCTCGTCACTCCGGAAACCCCGTTCACGTAATGGGGGAACGCTTCTTTTTCGAGTTGGAACACTTTATTCTCTTGGATATAGGCGGGATTCGATCAAGTTTGAAGAGGGAAATTTTGGAAACGTGATGGAAGAAAGGAATTATTTATATTATTTATATTACGAGAGAGGATAAATCGATTGATTTTCAATGAAAAATTGGGGAAAAATCTGGAAATCACGTTTTTATAGAATGTTTTTTTGAATTCGATAATTTTTTTTGGAAATGTTCAATGTAATGAAAGAAAGGGAAACTTTCGAGTTAGAACACTTTACTTGATTGGATATAGATGGTACAAAAGATTCAAATTTGAAGAGGGAAATTTTGGAAACGTGATGGAGGAAAGGAATTATTTATATTATTTATATTACGAGAGAGGATAAATCGATTGATTTTCAATGAAAAATTGGAGAAAAAATCTGGAAATCACGTTTTTATAGAATGTTTTTTTGAATAATTTTTTTGGAAATGTTCAATGTAATGAAAGAAAGGGAAATTTTCGAATTGGATGGTACAGGAGCGGATTCGCCCAAATTTGAAAGATTGGATTATTTATTAATTTTCAATGAGAGTTCGAATTCGTTTAAGATAAAGAATTTTTTGGAAATGTAATCAACACTTCTTTCGAGTTGGAGCGTTTTATTTTATCGCGATGTTATTGGATGTAAATAGTACGAATAGGTTCAAGTTTGAGAGAGAAAGGAAGGAATTATTTATATTTGGGAGGATAAATCGAAATCGAAGT